TTGCAGAAGGATGGAAGCCATAATGTGGTTTTGAAGTTGCTAGGATGGTTTCTTCCCCCAGTGCAAGTATTTAAAAGTTGTTATAACCATGTGTGAGAGACCGATGCATGAGCCCTGGCAGTGCAAGTGGAAAGCACACAGGGTTTTTAGCAGATCTGATTAAATCAGGTTAGCTCTGGTGGGGGCAGAAGTTAGATGCGGTGCTTCAGATGTTCACCCTTCCATGAACTGTGACATCTGGTCAGCTGCAAACCTGCTGTGGTCTTGCCATGCTGTTAGAGAGCTGTTGTGGGCATTCAGTTCATCCTGAAAGATTTCCCTTAGGTTTTTGTCCTACATTTAGGAAAGTGACCACTTACCCTGACCACAGCACTATTCCATTGGCCTGCATACAGGAATCCCCATTTTGCCCTGTAGAGTTGGCAAACATTCCCAAGTCTGTTTAACTTCCTGGATTCCATTTTATTTTGGCCCCAATCCATGCTCAGTTTTCAAGGAGGCATTTCTATTTATAGTGCTTACAGAAAAGCAAGATTTGTTTCTTGCAATTAAATCTTTCCAAAAACAATTTTTTTTTTTTGGTACAATTTTTTCTTTCTTGTGACCCTCCAAGGAAGTTTGATGTTCCACACACTCAGAACTGAACAAACACAGTTACAGGAGATGGGGCTGATTAGGGGACCGAGCCTTTTCCAGGAGGCTCTATGCCAGCTAGTTGGAGGTGTTTCTTGGGCAGTTAATACACATCTTGTGGCTGTATCATTATCAGTGTTGTACCATTAAAACTGGTGCCCTGCAGAGGAAAGGTTTCTATAGCTTAGCCAAGTGCTTGCCCTTCTAAATCTGATGAACTACTCTTCAGATGAACTACTATCTGCCACAAAGCAAGTGTACAAAACAATATTTTGTTTTAAAAGTTGATTGCATAAATGTACAAGGTGAAAATAGCTACTTTAGGCCTGCCAGAAAACCTCATACCCTTTCACCAGGGAATTTAGAAGACAATCAAGGCAAAGCCCTGGTCAAGCAACATCTTTGTATGAGATCCCTAGTTCTACGTGCTAGTGTGTGACTTTCATCTTTTTGTACAGTTTTTTTGTAAACCTTATTCTCTGAGAAACTCTCTCTACTATAAAATATCAACATTGTGTACAAAAGTATATTTTAGACTTACAGTGTTCTTGTCCTCTGTGGTGACAAAAGAACAAATGGAATGTTGAAAATCAGTCATCATGTTCTGATTGTTGACATCTTCATGCTAATCTATATATCTTTACACTCTGCTGCCATTTACCTTGATATGATTTAATGTACATCTGGAGTCAGGAGGAAAGATTTAAGGTACAATATTTACTCAGTAGTGTATTGAAGAAGTCATGGCCAAACGCTTTTCAAACAATGAGTAATGTAAAGTCACATCTCTACTGATGGTAAGAAAGGATAATTACCAATTGTATATCATCCCACACAGGTAGAAAACATGACTGTGCAACCACAGGAAAGAGAATGACTCCAAGGCCAGGTTGGAAACCGTTTTTTTTTTTTTTTAATAGGGCAATAAGTGTCGGCCCTATCTGACTCCTCCCTCAGATTAGATTAGGACTCCTGGAATAAAGAGAAATGAGGTTTCTACAGGAGTGTGACTGTTTTGCAGGAAAATACAGGTGAACAGTTTTGAATTAGAGCAATCTCATTTGTGATCTGCAGTAACTCAGTCTTTACTGGGGGTTACATGGACCTGGCTGCAGCCAGATCTGAGGAAGCATGCCATGGAGTCTTTTCATATCCCCAGAGACCTACTCATTGCATAGCTCTATCAGAATCCACCTTGTCATGTTACCATGCCCCACTTTAATAGTGGTATTTTTCCTGGCAGGTTAGGTTTCCAGCTGTTATGCCAGCTAGGACAACAGCTAGCTGTTACCTGTAGGTTTAGAACAGTTTTAGGATTGCTGTTTTCTGGTGCCTATCACCAGCATGGTAATCTCAAAGTATTACTTATTGGAACAAGCATTTTTTCCTGGGAATTCCATCAGGAACTGAGCCAGCACTCATGTCCCACTGCACACCTTGGATTCTGGGCAGCTGTGGGACACAGCAAGGTAAGGAGCCTTCTTTCCTGCAGCCTCAAGTAGTGCTGGCCTCAGCAAGGTCCTGCTTGCCAGTCTACCGCAGGTAAGTTATCTGCATTTGTTTGTTTGACTTTTACTCTCTGGGAACTGGGAAGCCTTTAGTTTCCAGGAACAAGTCCTGTTCAGGAAACACACTGGACTCTGCTCATTGTTTATGCTGATTTTCCCATAGGTATTAAAGGTATTAACTTATTAAAAGTGTTAGTTTAGATTGTGTTTTGGTTGATTCACGTGTTTGTTACTTGGAGTAGGTCAAGTTTTGCGTTATTGGAGGTTGCAGCACTAACCTGTCCTTGCACTGATTTTGGTTGACATAGTCCCCCCTTTTTTGCTGTTCAGCTATAAAGTAAGTTCAGATAATTTTTTTTTTTTTTTTTTTTTTAAGAAATAAATTCTTTTTATTTTAAAATTAAGACACATATATTTGGTATCAAAGTGGATGACAAAAGAGACTAGTTGGTCAAGTTTTAAGCCAAACTGTGGCTTTCAGGACTATGTAAACAGACATGGTGATTTTAGTGACTCTTTTCAGCTTTATGTCTCCCTGCTGATACTTAAGATAGTTTTCAGAGATCACAGAATCACAGAACTGTAGGGGTTGGAAGGAACGCCAGAGATTATCAAGTCCAACCCCCCTGCCAAAGCAGGATCCCTAGACTGGGTTGCATAGGTAGGCGTCCAGATGGGTCTTGAATATCTCCAGAGAAGGAGACTGCACAACCTCTTTGGGCAGCCTGTTCCAATAGTCTGTCACCCTCACCGTGAAGAATTTCTTTCGCATATTGGTGTGGAACTTCCTATGCTCCAGTTTATGGCCATTTTACTTTGACCTGTCCCCGTAGACTGCTGAAAAGAGGTTGGCCATGTCCCTTTGTCTCCCACACTTAAGATATTTATAAACATTAATTTTGCAGGCACTTCAGTGACCTTTCTGTCAGTGATCTCTCACAGCAGAATCCAAGAAATATCTGAGATTTCCAAAGGTTCAAATAATCGGGGAAAAAAAAAAAAACACACAACAAAGATTGTGTCTTTACAGTGCCTCGTTCAAGAGGAGCTAGCTCTATCAATTTTCTTCCATCTGCATTTCTTCTCCCTCATCCCCATGCCATTCCATTTTCAAGGGCCATCCTGTCCACCTCCCAAAGGTCCTCTATTGCCAGCCTTCACTCCAGCAGCCTCTTGGGTGGTCAGGCCTCACCTCAGCAGTGCTGACCACATGATAACTCCTCGGGCTGGTGGCTGAATCAAAATATACTAGGACAACAGATCTTTTTGGGAAGATAAGAACAATTGTCTGAGATTATGAAACCATTCAACCTTAACAAAATGTTCTATTTCATTTTGGAGGGCTTTGTAATAAGACTTGTTATATCTTCAGAGCTTCTTTAATGAGAATAGTCATTATAAGAGTCTTTATATACTGATATACAGGAACTCTGTTTTTAATTGTTTTGCAAATGCTTCAACTATTTTTCCAATATCTTCATGCAGCCACAGACATGGGGAGTCACACTTCCAGTAGCATTTATGTTCAGGCCGTCCTTAGAATCTGTCATCTTTCCATTCAAAAAAACCAAACATGCTGACACCAGGAACCAGGGTCTTAGAAGACTTCATTTTCATGAGGCATTATATCTTAATTTTCTTTAAAAACAACACAGAACAAAACCAAGAAAACCCCCTCAAAGTTGAAAAAATTGAATTCAGAAAAATAAAGGCATGAGAGTACATAGTATTGGTTTGGATTGGAATGTAGTTAGAAATTATTTTCAAGGGATTACCTAATTCAGGTCAGAATTTCAAATGATGCAGTAATCAGGGATCTGAGACTTCAGTTTGTATACTTTTCTACTTAGTGCAAATCATACCCTTATCTTGAGTCAGATTTGCAGCCCAAGATGTTGATGCTAATTTATATATTTCAAACTAAACACAAGTTTTTACTTTTTGCTGCCTTAAGTCAAATATTTTCAGCCTATGCTTTATGAGGAAGAAAATAGTGCTTTCATTTTCCTTCCTCATCCACCTTATTTTAATTCTTTTCAATTCTTCTTCTTAATTGTTTTATTTTTCTCTTCCAAAATATAATGCTTAATATTAAATTGAAAAAGTTGCAAAAATATGAATTTTAGAATTCTTTCCTTACATAAATAAAGGTAGGAAAAAGCATGAAACAGACACTGGTATCTCTGAAATGAGGTGGAATGGCGTTTGCCTCTTCTTCTGAGTCAAAATATTGTAATTGGTGAAACTGTAAAACGGATGAGCTACGGTGACGTGTCAGGAGTTACCAGAAGTCAAATCCATTCTGAGAATTTTACCATTGGCTAGGCACTTGCAGGAATACAAAGCATGTAGCCAAGGCTCCTCCCAGGACTATAATTCTGTGTTTTGCTGCCTAAATTTCATTCATGTCTCTTTTTGGCTATGATGCATCTTCCTCTTTAGGCCTCAGTATTTCCATTTCTCCAAGAACAATTGCAGTACTTCTCTGCTTTGTTTAGACAGCAAACGAATAACTTCCTCATGGCTTGCAAAACAAGCTCAAGTCTATTGTCATAACCTGATCTGCCAAGGTAACTCTTAATGGAGTAGGCTGAGTCTTTCATGTCTTTCCTGGTTTTTGCAGCACCAATGGCACCACCATAAATAGAGATAGTACTGAAAATGTCCTTGAAAATTTAGTATGTAAGCTGAGATGAATTGTTAACGGTACATTTCTCTTAAAGTATCTGGGCAGTGCATGGAAAAAGCCAGTTACTGTGTGAAATGTAGTCCTGGTAAGGAGATTTACAAAGTATGCAATGCTTACCTGTCCCAGCTGGACTAGAGAAACAAGGGAAATAAATCTACACAGGAGTCCGCTTTAATTCATCATTCTATTTTATGAAGCATCAAACAGCATTTTCACCAATTAGCATTTAACAGCAGTTAAGAAAGGATCACAGGGTTATTGAAAGAAAAGCCAAAAACCTATTTCATAGTCACTGATTCCTCACTTGGCAGCAGTGCTCTTGGAGGGCTTGGGTAGTACCCAGCAGTTGCTGAGCTATTTGAGGAAAATCGTGTAAATCTATAATCCAGTGGTAAATCTGAAAGACAGAAATATACCACATCTGATTAGCAGCACAGTCCATATCACATAAAAAATAAGCCTGTGGTGAATAGCAGTACTTCTTAAGCCCTTGAGCTGTTTGCTTACTGGCATTAAAACTCAAATCGGATTGCATGATTACATATTTATTTGACATCTTCAGCTGTCCAAGGGATTGACTTTCAGAGTTTATTCAACTGCAGTAAAGGATATTCAGTTCCTAGATTGCTGAAATAATGCTATACTAGTCATAGAGAATGATTAGATGAATACTAAAAAATCAAACAAAAATCTTTTTCAAACCTAGATGGAATTTTCCTACTAGAACAGCTTTAGGTTCTTCGAGCTGACACTTTTCTCTTTTATCTCAGCAATCAACTGATGAGAGCCCCATTTAAAACAAAGTCTTTTTTTTTGGGGGGGTGGGGGGATGGGGGGGTGGGAAGGAGATTGTTGTAGCAAGATTCCCACAAGGAACCCACTTCGGGACTTTCTTGAAGTTCAGTGTTAACACCATCATTTTGTATGAAGCCTTCTTGAAAATTTGCGCTCGTAACTTGGCATACCCATTGCATCCACTCTGTAAAGAACACTGAACACATTTAAATAGTTCTGAACAGTCAAAGCTTTCTTTCCTTTCATTCTTTTAAAAAGACTTTACCGGCAGCAGTGCCTCCTCCTACAGGAAACTGATACTTCTCATACTTAGTTCTTATTCAAAGTTCAAGAAATCAAATAAAATAAACTGCACACATATAAAATTTTATTCAACAATCACTCTCCTATTAAGTGGGGGGGAAGCTCAGATCCTACCTAGTTTTCTGTAGTTTTCTGTTTAGAACCAAAGCAAAACAAAAAACTAAACTAATCTGAACCTTTTTTTGGGGGGGGGGAGGGAAAGGTTTGAAATACATTTGGGCTGATATCTAGATACTACAGGCTATACATTTTTTTGCATTCAGCTCCTTTAGTGAAACAGAAAAACACAATCTTAGCCGATTCAGATCAAACAACTGGAAGTTCAGCTCTATCTCAGCAGCAACTCTTATGCAGACAGCAGGGCAGCATCCAGGCCTGCAGCTTTAAGACCACATAAAACACAGCTGAAGCAAACAAATCAGAATCTAGATCCAGTTGAGAAATCAGATAAAGACTGGAATAAAGAAGCAATGGGAGGATACTTCATTGCAAGTGAATTACGCTCTATTAAGTGGATTACTTCAACTAGTCAAAGAAGCACATTTTCTCATTCTTTCTTAGCCAAGGGATTCTCTAGGGCTCTTTGTGAGCACAGCAGAGCAGGCAGATGTTTCCTAGTCTACTGAGTAAAGAAGCAAGGATTCTGAATATTGTTATAAACTATAAAATTTACATGCCTTTTTTTATCTAAAAGCTTTCATTAGCTTTTTATTCCAGCAGTCTGGAGTCTCCCAAGAGCAGTTTAACCAAAAAGCAGCAGCATAAGTGATGCAGACTTACTGTATATTTCCTTATCTTGAAGAAATGAGCAGTTAGATCAAAATGGCAATTCAGTTGATATTTCATGGTAAACTAGCTTTAAACGATCAGCTTAGATGCCGAACCCATTCTGAATACAATGCACAGGACTCCAATAGAGAATAATAAATTTTTACATATTCAAAATCCAATCTGTCCATTTAAATATTGCTTTTGTCTGAGCAAGTTGACTGGATGAACAGAAGGTATCCGTATGTAAAAATGTTGTGTAAGGCATCACTGAAAGTTACATGAAGCAGATACTATTCATCACCTACAATACTGATTTTATGTCACAAATATAGGAAAACATCTTCCTGTATTTTCAGGTTTGTTTTCATCAGTGATTTCATTTGCTGCATCTGCCCTGCCTGGAGTTGGGAACACTTCACGCTACTGCTTTATTTCAGTGTGATTTATTTATGTGAAAGCCCTGCACTGATCCAGAAATACGTAATTGGAATTCTAGCAGCTATAAATAAATCAGAGTGAAGATGAAGGGTAATTACTCAAAGAAAGAAAAATGAAGATTTTATTGAGGGGGGATATACAATTATGAAAAAATGGAAATCCAGAAAATGTCAGAGAGGAAGTGTGCTGTAAGGTCTTTTAAACGTAGCTCTTCTGAAAACTCTGAAACATCACACAAATTGCAGTTGCCTTGGATGGCAAAGAATTCATGGTAGCAGGACACCAAAGCTCAGTCCAGCTTTTCTGGATGCAGATGGCAATGGTAATTAGCAGTGCTGGCTCATCAGCAAAGAACTACGGTAGAGGTCTTAAGTTTGCCTCCTGGACACAGCAGCAATTGATTTTGTACTTGGTCTTATTTTCTACTGTCACTGGTGGCACAGAAGAGAAATGAACACTGCTTGCTTTAAAAGGAAATAATAAAAGATACAGTATTTGATAATAAAGCAAGCCTCAGTTAGGAAAGAAATGAGTGCTCATTTCCAAAATGATTGTTTCCTAGTATTTTTACCAATAAATATCTTTAGGCTCTACTACTGCATACATTCACAGCTGCTGCTGTCTTGGTAGAGTTTTACATCTGGGCATTCTCTTCTCACCCAGCCCTGATGGAGAGCTGTAGATTAGAAGGGGGCACATACACAGCTCTCTCTTACATACAGTGGGGGTCTGATCAGTGCTGATCAGCCTAGAATGACAATGGATTCAACACAAATCTCATCTCATATTGCCACTCACCTAGGAAATAAAACAACAGCAACAACAATAAAAAAAAAAACAACCACAAAAGAACCCCATGCAAACTAAACAGACTTAGGTTGGAAGAAAGATCTAGCTGGCTTTACCCAAAGAGACTGTGTAGGGACCTAAATCCTGGACATTTTCTATGGTACATAGATTCCTCCAAGACTCATCTTGTTCCCAGTATTCATTTTCATAGCCCAGCCTCCTAAAAGTCAAACATGGAGTGTCTCGTAGTCTATATCTCTTTCTAGATCTACAGGAATTCTAGTTGCCAGATGTAGCCTTGGGAATATTCGTGCTCCCAAAGCAGAGCCTGAGTGTCAGTGAGTGATGAGAGCCAGCTCCCTTCACAGTAGCTGTGCAGGCAGAGTATCCTGGTGCTTCTCAATGGCTCAGCTGGTGCTCAGGATTGCAAGCTGCTGATCACAGAAGGTCCCCAAGGTACCCTGCCCAGCCCAACCTCACTTGCAGTACTTGAGCAGCCCCAGTTTAAATAAAATGGCGATGGTGATATTTGAACAGTAACCACTGCCAGGCTTATTCCAGTCACTAAGATGCTGTGTTCCAGCTACTAAGACCCAGCTGTTAAGTGATATAAATTATAACACTGTGCTCTGATGCTTTGGCATATCCATATTCATACCTGTAGGTGATAAAGATGGATTTATTTTGTACTTATTACTTGACTACATTACTTGTGACTCCGTTATTATAAGCCAATAAATGAAAGCCAAAAGCTCTTACTGGGAAAAAAAAAACACAAGAGTTGTAGCCACAGGGTTGGAAGGGGAAACCACAAGAAGAAGGGAAAACGTAGTAGTTTAGATGAGTAATCAGGAAAATATTTGAGTAACTGAATGGAAGTTAGTTATAATCTAATCCTGACATAGGCTTGCTTGATAAACTTAATACTCATATTTAATCTTTCTCTGAGATTTCCTTGAACAAATCAATACTTGAAACAATTATAATCTTAACTAAGGTCTTTAGGTGGAAGATATTTCTCCAATTAAAAGCACAGTCCAAGCCTAATGCAGATTTCTCTCAAAACGCACAGAAGAAATATCACAAAGAATTTTGCAGTAGTGACCACAAAAAGGAGAACAACATTCTTTTGCAGTGACAACACAGCAGCATGCTGGTGATGCATGAGAAGCCCACAGACCAAGGAGTTCCCACTCCTGGAGGCAACAGGGCTGCAGAAACCTTGTAGTAAAGAGAAGGGCAGGACTGACTGAACCCACACGAGTGCTTCTGATTGCTATCAAGGGATATGTGGGGGACGTGGGGGAGAAGCAAAAAGCTCTTCAGCAATACGATTCAACTTTGAAAACCTTCAGACTGCTTAATTGTAGCAAATATCAAAACACAACAATCTATCACATGGCTCAGCATGCAGGTAGCATAGCTATATGGGCAATCATCAGCCAATATTAATTCTCTTGTTTTTACAGGAATTCCAGTAATTTACTCTAGCTTAGGAGCTTTACCATAGAACTTTGCTTGTATTGAAAAGTTGTTATTGAAGAAAAAGGAAAATATTAATTAATATTAACAATTTCTGAAATAATTTCTTAACAGAAGAGTAAGCACACTTTTGGCTGCACTGCCAAGAGAACTACTCTGTGGCCTGCCAACCTACAGGAGGAGTACCAACAGTACTGAGTGTAGAGTGTTTTTGGAAATATGAAAAATTTTTATCTTCTGACCTAATTCTTTTTTATAAAAATCACAACAGCTCTTGCAGCAAGAGCTGGGAATGTGAAGGAATGCACTAGTAGCAAAAACAAAAAACCCCAACGATGCAATCAGATTTATCTGACAGCAGTTATTTTTAGCAAGACATCTCAGGCAGATTTTCCTAAACACGAGATCAAATGTTTTCTGTATTAACCCAAAGCTCTTGAAATACTTAAGTGAGCATTCCTTCTACCAGTTACATGAAAGTCACTGCTGCTGTTTGAAGGCTCTGCAGCTGAGCAGTGAGAGAGGAGGAGGATATCTGTCTGTAGGTGTTTGTTTGAGACGGGAAGATGATCAGCAGCGGGGGGCTCTAGAGAAGGAAGGTGATAAAGCTGCTCAGCTTGGATGTAGCTGGCACTCGCAATGTGCTGTTTGAGACAGCGCAGTTTATGCACCCATAGATAAAGACTAATATTGCTTTCGGTGAAACTGCAGAATTTCTGCTTTAACCCTTTAACAGCTTTTCCCATTGTGGCTGCACTGTTTGGAGAAAATGCCTGCTGCTCCGCCACACAGAATCATAGAATCTTTTGAGTTGGAAGG